CCGCTTGGCATTACTTGAAAATAGATCGGCAGCGGTTCAAAACGTCGTTGTATGTAGGTGTTCGACCCACCTCGCAAGTGAATTGAGTCGCTCGACAAGCTCGCCTCTGTCGATTTTGAGTGTCAATTATTTCACAAATATTTTCCGGTGTTACCAAAGGGATTTACTTTCGTCTACTTGGAAAAAAAAAAATAATTTTTGCATTAGATATTGTGCCACTATTACGACAACATTGTGTGCCGTTCGCGTATAATTTAATTTTGGAAAATTATCGCGCAGAACATAATCGTGATGGCTAATACCATACCCAGCTCGTCCAAATACACAGAGAATTACGGTGAGTTTCTGGAGAGTTCTGTTCTTCCTTGTAATTTTGTTACGTACATGTATATTTTTGTTTATCTCGCACAATTATATTTTATTCTTTATATTAGCTTAATTCAGGAAATTGACAGTAAAAATACTTCTCGATGAATTTTTTCTTTAGAATTTAGTTTGGAATAATTTAGTAAAAATAGTAACTTTTGTAAGTACTATTTATTTCTTAGAACAAATTTTATTATAATTACAATAATTTTTCACGATGTGACCCTGAATTTCTTTAGTATATTTTGAGCTGAAATAAGTATCGACCTGAAAGAGATTTAACTTTAAATATCTTTGTATCCTTGAATGAAACTTTTGTCAAAGTCGTCTTAAAAATAAATTTACACTTATCAAATTTAAATCTTGCTTAATTGATTCTTTAGCAACTACATAATTAAAAAAAAGTCTATTCCGAATAGTTAAAGAATTTATTAACAGAATACGAGGATCTTGTGCGGAAATGTTTTGTATACCGATCGTTACTGTTCTATATTAATTGCAAACTGCCTGTAACAATATCTTATGCAAAATGAACTTTCATTGTGGCTAAACGCTATATATAGTCGGATTATGTATACACGATTACATATACGCGCTTCTAGGTTTCTATTTCAAGAATAAATTTTGTCTATAGGACGCATGAGTGAAAATTTGCGTGGGATCACATTATTCTTATTCCATTTGTACGAGATCATGGCTGTACGCAAATAATTGACGCCGTTCATTTTTCTCTTACTCTCTTTCTCTCTCTCTTTTTCCCTATAATCTATGACACGCAATGATCCCGATAAAATTAAAATTTCTTCTTTAATTCTTTGAACAAATTTGTTTCAACTAATTCTGCTAATATTTCCCTATTTCACCAATTCTATGTTTCTGTCTGGTTCTGAAATTTCTCGGGAACTAATTCTAGCATATGTTTGTCAGACTAATGTTGCTCAATAATGCTACATTAGTTAATGCTACATGTTAACCTGCTTACAATTAACACAAATTAGCTCGATAATAATAACATTATGTGACTTTGATCCAATTAGTGGAGTGTGGCTTCGTGACTTCGCATTGTTTCGAATGCGCCCTTTGTAATAATCGATACTCAAGATTTACTTCCTTCTGTACATATTTCTTCGCGTATCATTCTTGATATCATCAAGATTCAAATAATTCGTAGATAGCGACAACAGTCGCAGAATTTGCTTCTTGCCTTTTGCGCTTTGTGATCATTTTCGTTTTTCACCCGTGTTGTTACTGATTGGTGCCCCCTCAAAAAAAAAAAAAAATCTCCCTCCAAAACAAAAGCTCTTGGCTCGTCCCATCAAGGTACACCTCCGAGCAGCCCCGCGACAATGTCCGCGTTCTCCAGGATGGTCGGCGCGGCCACAACCATGGCGAACAAACAGGCCCCGAATCAGAACCAGACCCAGATTCAGGCCCAGGTCCAAGCCCAGGCCCAGATTCAGAATACCGGCAACCCCCTCGGAATTGCCGCGGTTCTTCTTCAAGGGGCCCAAGGTAAATTCAGGATTTTGATTCGATGTTGCAATGAAATGCAACGGGTAAACCGGGTCTTTATATCTTACTTTTTAATCCTTTACGGCTCTACACTATCAAGGATTTTTTTTTTTTTTTTTAATTATATTCTCGTGAGAAAAATTTAAGACGATTGTGTGTTTAAACTTTATGAATAATAGTATTTATAGAATGTAAATTATTTTTGAAGTCTATGAATTTAAAGACAAATCTCTCTCGATATATTGGAATCTCACTGTTTATAGATTTCAAAGTTAATGAAATTATTCTTAAATGCACTAAAAACGAAAAGTATAGCGGTAAGAATCGTTCGCTGATAAGTAAATAACCTTTTATTTAGCTACGAAAATGTCGAATTCATCTAGTTTTTATTACGATTGCTATTGATTACGTCAGATGGAGGTAATGAACGTGAATTGGTGAAAGAAAGTAAAACATGGGATTGCAACGATGTTTTTGTTAAAAGTATCGACTATTTGCCGTTGTTCTTGAAATATATTTATTCGAAATGTTTTGCAACCGAAATGTGTTTCGGAGAGGTTATCGCGAATTCCGATGGTCTGATCTTCCGGATGCGAAACTTTGAAAAATTCATTATTTTTTTCATCTCACACACACAATATGAGAAAATGTTTTCCTGTTATATAAACGTGTACTTTTTGAATGTAATCTTTCAATCTCACGTGTGAAATAATGAACCCAGAGAATAGTGTGCTTGAAGAGATGACAATTAAGTCTGTTGAAATGCAAATAGCTTTAATCGAATTAAATTTGCCTTATATTTTTATAATTGAATTTATCAAATCGTGATCATTAGAATAAGATGTAGTCACGATAGTTTTCGTTGACATCTCTTTATTCAAAAATTATTTCACCACACAAAAAACTTTTGTCAACCGACATTTTGCAGAATTTTTCTAGAATGATCTATTATACTCTATTTATACTCGATATCAAAGCATCACCTGCCGCATTGTGATCTGAATGAAAATAGAGAAAACAATCAGAGAATAATATAAGTTTTACCTCAGGATTGTAGATTAAAAAAAGCGTTAATATAGGTGTGTTAATTACAAAATCATATAACATCGTATAAATCGAAAGTGTGATAGGTATTATCAATTGCTGCTTGCTCGAATTGTTTGACTTTTCAAATCATGGAAGAATATCTTCACGAAGTCATTGTACAGAACAATTATCACTTGATGTCGTAGTCTCTCTCCCTCCCTCCCCCCCCTCCCCCTCTCCCTCTCTTTCTTCCTATCATCCCTTTCGTCTTCTTTCTTTCTCTCTTTCTCTCGTATCGCAGGATGAGAAATAGGCACGTACACTGGAAGGAGATGTTAAAGCGCAACTAACAGCAGTCTGATCGACGAATCGGTAAGGTTACCCAAGCCGGATGACCCATTTCTGCTTCCACGTTTTATCGAGATTCCTTAGTAGAGAGCACATATAGACACACGTGTGTATGTGTGTGTACGTATATACATATATGTGTATGTATGCTGTATATCCGATGCATAGCAATAATCTGTTAAATGAGGACGAGGCAGGAATCGGTCTAGTCGTTTCTGCTTTAAAATGCCGCAGCATGATTTGAAATTTATTATAAACAAATTTTCTTTTATTACATAACGTATACTTACGTCACAAGAATCGTTATATGTTTCTGTATATATGTTTCTTGCTCCTCTTGTATATTATTTGTCTTTTATCGTTCACGCTTTCTCACGCCTTTTAATTTTATTCCAATAACTTATTCGTTCTTTTCGCGTTTGCCATACGTTCACGTTACACCTTCACTCACGCACTCGTTGAATTTTTTTTTAGACATTAGATAATATCCTCAGCCGACGAGACCCTTCCGTAAGAGGCGCGACGGAAACGAGAGAAAAATGAACCTTTCTCTTTATTGTCGTTTCTTTGTGCACCTCTCCTCGATTTCTCCTTGACTGCTTACATATACAATACTGTCTGACGAATCGATTCATTCTATCGATTGATTGGACGATTATTCGACGATTTCTCCTTACATTTTTCCCAAGTTTCACCTCTCTCCGTCAAACAAGACTCACACAGTTATAAAATAGTGTAAAATATACTGATTTGCATTCGCTCTTCCGTCTTGCTCTTCCGGCGATATCGATGACTTCCCTTGCTCCTCTGCTCTCTTTCGTCGGATCTTTATTATTTACGGATTCGAGCGTCGGGAATAGACGACGCGATGATCGATCGCGTTTTACACCATCTTACTAGCCACGTTCGTTCCCGTTTAAGTTCTGCAAGTGGAATGGATCTGACAAGCAAGTAGAGAAATAGACAAACTGCAACGACATAAACGGCATAAAAAATAAAATAGTGACGTTGACACTAATATCAGTACATTAGATGCAACAAATTTGTCAAATAAAATGGTTTTCCTTTCATAGTCGACTTTTACACACTTGCAATTGAAATTTTTTATTAATACATATTGTCGAAAGTATATTTTATTTATTACGCGTCACGCGCCTAATATTCTCTAACTAGGATTTTTTAGCAGCAATTTTTTATTATGAGTTACAAAATTATTTGTTATATACCGAAATAAATTATTTCTCTTTCGTCCGTTTTGCTTTAAATTATTATGTAAATTCTATAAAAAGTTGTAAATCTTTCGAATGAGAGAATTCCGAGTTATAACTTAGTTAATTTAAAATTGACTTAAAAATTTACTCAAAAAGAATTTCTAAACCAAACGCTTTTGATAATCGACAAATCTTAAAATGTACCAAAACAATGAAAATATACGCGTGAAGAATTTCGAGATAGTACGGTGATTTCTTATATTTTATCGTTGAATATATATATAAATCGAGAATCCGCGAAAGACGAGGAGCAATCGGTCTAAAGAGCGTCGCCAGTCGAGAGGATCGGACGCACGATTACGCGATGTGACGAGACGCGAATACGACGCGACGTGCAATGGCTTCTTTGACGTTGACACTAGCTCGTGTTTGGTTGGTTGATTGCATGACTAGCTGGCAGCGCAGGAAGCGGTAGCAGCAGCGGTAGCAGCAACAACAGCCAGAACAGCCAAGTCTGCGCGTCACCATCGTCGCCGGCCAGTATCAGCCATCAGGCGAATGGTAGCAACGAGCCGATAGCATCGCGACGCCGGGATTCCTCGCCTATCGGTCTGTAGCACGATAATCTGGCACGTTTCCTTCTATCTTGATACTCTTCCCTTCTTCCTAGAGGGTGGAAACGATCTCTTAACTCGTTCTTGAGCGTCGCTGCATGCTGTAGAAATTCAATCAGTTATTTTTAATTATCATTATTACGTATATATCTGTTGATGTTGCCTATCAAATTGTCAAAGCATCGATTTTTCGTTTATTTTTAATAATCCGCCGTTCAGATTCCTTTATCAATTCTTAATTCACGTTTGTAAGATTGATTGATGATCGACGATTAGTTGCTTCCTTTTATTGAATTCCTCGATCGATCAAGATTTACGTGAATTCTTATCTACGGCTGTTATACAGATATTCGTCATAGTATAGATTTGCATAGTTGCTGTAAATGGCGATAAGGTAACGCTGAGCGAAATCGGAGAATATGACCGCGTAGGTTATTTACGAGACGGTTAGACAGAAGTATTACCCGAAAACCACACATTCATTTGCACCGTCTATAAATAATCAGCATTAATGTTTGCTATGATTTATGGAAAACGATTCAGTTATGTTTTCTCTACGCTTACGAATAAAGCGAAATGAATGTGCAAAAATAATGGGATTAATTACAGCTATCAGCCCGTTTGGTCAACCAGCCCAATTTATGATCAATGCAATAAACAACGTTACAGTAAATAAACGTGAACACAAATATATTTGATAGGACCGATATAAACGAAAAGCCGTTAATTAATAAGTGAAATTAACGCTCAGAAGTCATTTTTATCGTCGTGCTCCAATATCTTCTGTTTTTTTCTAGTTTGCTTGCAACATAAATACATACTGTACACAAGTAATAATTACTTGTTTCAAGTATTTAAAAAATTTATATATCCGCAAATCTATTATAAGTTTAACACAAACGTCAAATTTATTCAAAATATATTCTGGGTGGTAAGTTTAATACTTCAATCAAGATTATTAAATTAAAACAAATTCAATTTGTTTATTATATAAAATCGCTTCTTCGATTTTATAATATTCATCAGAAGAAAATTAATTCTTGTTTTTAATAAATACATAATAATGAGTTTTCCTAAAATTTATGATGAGTACATTTTTAAGATCACTATCATGAAAATATTCTTTTGTTATATCCCGATAAAATTCTCTCTTTCCTTATTATAAATACGATTTATATCTTATCTTTATCTTATCTCTAGTTTAGTATTTCGTCTTAGTTTTCATATTTTGTCCCTATTTTATCTTTATTTTGAAACTTTACCTTTTCTATATCGTAAAATTCTTTTCCCTTTTATAGCAGGACATATTTAATTCCTTTATTTAAACATTCAAACCAACAAATAGCTCACGTTTGTATACCCTTATGCGTCACATAGATAAAGAATATCTATTCTATCTTCCCTCTTTTCTTTTGAAGGTCCTTTTTCTAAAATAATAACTAAATAAAATAATAATAACTAAACAATAGCATATATGCCTAATAATTAAGTATTATATATTAAGTAGCATTATATATTAAATAATAACATATATTAAGACCTTCCCAAATGCGAGGATGAATATCTTTATTTATTTATTTTTTTTTTAAGAAATAAAATGATTTTATTTTATTAGTTGAATTAATTCTTAATAATACAAGGGGTTATAATAACAATTAATTAGATTTTTGTATTAGATTTTTGTCATTTCAATCCTTCATCTCGCCCTCTTTATCCGATTTTTCCATTTTTCTTATGTACATAATTACAATTAACATTATTACACCTGATTAGCACTTCTCCGAGGTTTCCAGTACTATTGCTCTCTATTTGTTCTTCAGTATTTGCAAGCTGCAAATTCATGTATCCGTCAACTAAGATGAGGTAACCTTTATATTCGTGGCCCTATTTTAACTTCACCATGATCGGTTTCCCTATCAAACCATTAGGAATGGTTTGGGATGTATTGGCATTGTCGCAGCCATAATGTAAAATCCATAATTCTTTAACAGAAACGTAAATAAAAAAATTCTTTGCGCATAATGTGCTCGATTTCGATTACAAGTGTGTCTGATTCTTTGGCCTAAATAATTCGATGTATGGATGCTCAGATACATCCTTAACTTATTATAGATGTCACAAAGCTATTTTGACATTATATAAATGCATTTAATATAAAATTAAATATGTGAAGCTATATAATAT